CCACCCAGAATACCCTAGCAACCACCTAGAACACCCTAGTAACTGCCTAGCAACCACCTAGAACACCCTAGTAACTGCCTAGCAACCACCCAGAATACCCTAGCAACCACCTCGCTAACACTCTAGCAACTGTATAGGAACCACCCAGAATACCCTAGCAACCACCTCGCTAACACTCTAGCAACTGTATAGGAACCACCCAGAATACCCTAGCAACCACCTCGCTAACACTCTAGCAACTGTATAGGAACCACCCAGAATACCCTAGCAACCACCTCGCTAACACTCTAGCAACTGTATAGCAACCACCCAGAATATGGTTGTCTTCACTGCGGGTCTTGAACACTGGTACTTTATACATGTGGAATCCAGATGTTTCTCAGGGTGTTTTTCAGAAGATAATCTCATTTTAGTTATATAGAATTCACAAAGATGTTCATAACTAAATGGGGTCATTAAATGTTTGAAAAAGACATTACAAAGTACTGCTAGAGAAAATAAGCATTTATGTAAATGGATTTCAGATGCATCACTTTTTTAGTTAAAACCACCCTGACTTACAGTAAATGTGTTTGTTTGATTGCATTTGTTTTGATTCTTAATTTATGTTATCTGTCAGCTAGGCCTAAATGATATCGATGTGATCAGATATTATGTTTAAAACTTAAAAAAATTGTTCTTTATAAAAGTTGTATATTTTTCTTGCCTTAAAAGAATGAATTCAATCACGAACACAAGTCTTAACACAGACTCCACACTCCCTGGAGACTCAATGATGTGTGTGTTCTGTGAGAATCGAAAAGAAGGAATTACAGAGTCCAGATGTTTCAGTGAGTGGAGATTCAGGCAAATCATCCCAACCTAGACCTGATAAAACCCTGTTATCAGAGGAACAAATGCCTTCACATCCACACACAGCCATTCACCAATAAAACACATTTAAATGTGACTAACAATATTCCCACAACCAGTAGCCAAAATATTAAAGGGTTAGTTCACCCAAAAATGAAAATTCTGTTATGTCGTCATTTATCTTCGAAACGCGACGATATTTTAAAGGAAATCTGAGAGATTTCGGTCCGTCCGTTGAAAGTCTGTTCACCGAAACCTGATGCGGTCACACTTTACATTTCACTACCATCTACTTCCATAAAAAATTAATTCAATGTACTGAATTGTATTGCAAAACACTTTTGCTGCTAGTTGTTACGGTTAGCAGGGAAGAGGCGAGGATCTATTCGCAGCAATAATTTATTAAATAAACACACAAAGAAAATCCAAACAGGGAAGATAAAGACAATAATCCAAACAGGAAACACGTATATCCATGATGACAGGAACAGGGAACAGAAACAACAACAGCTTTACAAACACTTTTACTATGCAAAAACATGCATGAACACAATAAGTTCATTACATTTTAGTTCATAATAGTCAGACTCCCAATATAAAGTGGGACCTCTGACGCTTTAAAACATTCGGAAAGAGATCGAGTGGTTTGATCAAATTCTTCTGAAGAGACATAATCGTTTAATATTTATGTGTTTTCTTTTTTATTTACTACGACACCTTCATCTTTATATAGTAGTAGCCTAGCCTTCTTTAATCTGATATATTGTTCTATCTATTATTCATGGATATATCAGTAACATGCTTGGATTAATGACGGAAGTAAGCAGTTTCCCATGAAATCCGTCCCGACAACTCGAAAATATTAATAATGAAATCAATTATAAAGACTTACCGTAATGATTCAGGGTAAATCAAAAATCACAGTTTGGAAAATGAATTTTTGATATGATTGTTAAACATTGTTCTTTCATTCCAAACAAAAGAAAAAAAAAAGTCACATAGTGTAGCTTTATGCGTCACGTTCATAAAGTTGCTCAATCAGACTACCAAAGTAAACAACATCTACAAATTTATTTCTAACAATGTACAGAAAGCTTGCATGTGATTTACAGAGCGCCACTAGTTTATCAGAAAAAAGATCACCTCTCATCCAGGCATTTGTTGGTTTAATGTGAACCTCTTTTAACACTGTTCATGATCAGCCATCGTTTGCAGAAACTGCTAATCCTAAAGTCTTTCCAGATGCTATCTTGAAACGGTGGAGTCTGTGTGTGAGTGGTTGGAGGAGGTGGTGGCGGCGCTGAGCAGAGAGAAACCGCTGTGACTCGACTCCAGGCTGCTCATGGAGCCCCTGATGGAAACACACACACACACCTTTAAACAGCCCATTGATAGTTTACCATGATTTGTTATGCTAAGACCTTTGCAATATGTAATCATCCAGACCTGAAGTCAGTGGACTGCAGCACCTCTGTGAAATACATGACTTTGCACTTGTGTGAGGAGACCTGCAGAGAGGCCAGGACGTCGTCGACACGCGGACGGCTGGATGAAGTGCATGTCGGGGTGCTGTAAAGACGCCACTGCAGGATGTAGGATCCAGGCCAGCGCGTCACATGAGAGCCCTGATGGGAAACGTGTGGATCAAAGGAAGAGAATGAGTGTATGATCAACTAGGGGTGGGCGATATGAGCAAAAATTCATATCACGATATTTTTCACTGTCCGGACGATATCGATATTATATTGCGATATGAGAAAAAAAAATTGGAATCACATTTTAGTACACCCTAGTTAAATTACAGGCAAAATATGTATTTTAACCATATAACTAGAAAAAGGTGAGGGATTTAATTGGACATAGACCTGAAAAATCTTTTTTTTATTGTGCCATTGTTTTTCTCAAAAAGTGCAAACGTGCAACATGAGGTATAGGCCTGAATTCACTTGCTATCTCTTTCCACTTTTTATTTTGCTGGGTCAAAATAATTCCTTCGTTAATTTCGTAAGATGAGTAACACTGGAGTTTGGTTTATTGAACTTTGACACTTGGTTTGACACTTAGGCCTAATTTAAGACAACTTTATGTGAACCGAGAAGTTTTTGTATACTGACCAAAAGAGAGGAGAATCTACATCCTGCTAATTCAGTGGTGAGAATTGAATTGTTGTTTTTACTTTATATTGTTGTCCATTTATCGAACTTCCATACCTCTTATATAATAATTATATAGTACTATGTATCCATTTACTAATGCTCGGACACACTCGCGGAGTTCGCTTCGCTTTTGTCCAATCGGGCGCCTCATAGACAGACGCTGTGTGTGTGTGTGTGTGTGTGCACGCGAGAGACGCGTGAGTGACAGAGAACGAATAGACTGCGTGTTTTAAATAGCGTAAAGAAAATAAATGAATAACGAAACGCATTATGTGGCGGCCGGTGTTAATTCTGTGGCGCACCCACCACGAATTAGTCCATGTGTGGGAAACACTGGACTGTTACTATGCTCTCTGTGTTTGATTATTAATGCCTGTGCTTCACGCGAGTTGCACACAGAGGAAAAGGTTAAACCTTCAGTTCAGCCTCGATTTTGTATCGTCATTAGAAGACCTTGTGTTAAAAGTTGTAAAGTGTACCAAATTTAACAAAACAATGTAACTGAAAAATTTGAATTAATGAATATCTAACGGTATTCTCGGTATCGCAAAATCCATATCATGGTACAACATAATACCGGTAGTCACGTTGATACCGGTATAGCGGCCACCCCTATGATCAACGTATACGAGTCCCGCATGTTGTTGGCAGGTTTGGTGAGATTCCCCTCACCTGTACGCTCTCTCCCTCTCGGCAGGTCAGGGCCGTCTCCACCATGCTGTAGTCTTGTCCCAGCATCCACGATCGGTCGATGAGCTGGACGTTGTTTCCGCCGGGGCAGGCGAGGTTGTGCGTGTCTCTTTTAGCGGGCTGAGGGACTCTTCTGGAGTGGTAGATGTTGAAGATCATGTCGCCTTTACACACGTCAAAGTCCCACGTGATGACGGACGACACGTCTGTGATCTCGATCAGCACCTGAAGATGAACGAAGGGATTTACCTTCATTTCAGAACGCATAACACACAGCGCTGCGCACCATTCAGAGTTCAACTGGGAATCTGGAATTTGAATTCGCCTTTGGCTAAGCCACACCCTAGAATGTAGATTGACCAATCACAGCGCAGCCAAGAACGAGCTCCCACAGAGGTCCGACACTTTTTCACAGCGCTCCATTGCCTTTAACACAGGCGTCTCATATTTTTGGTCTCGGCAGGCTATTACTGTCGTAGCTTTATCAAAAATATGGTTAAATGTTGTGCCTGGGGCATTTGTAACACAGATACGCGTTTCCCAGAGAGGTTGGAGGGGGGTGTCAGTTTTTTTCCCTTCCCAAAACCAAAGTCAAATCCTGACAAGTGTCGTCTAGCACACGCTGCTAATAAATACAACGTTATACTCGCGTAGTCCGTTTGCTTCGTAATAACGATTATAGAAGTGAATAGAGATCTACCCAGCTTTGCATGAACAGATATTGTTAGTCCCAGCCTCCGTCTCGATTAGAAGGATATGCGGTGGTTAATATTTTGACTGTGACCGGTATGCTTTTGCCTCTATTTTGGATGCCTTGTTGTTCCTTGCGTTTCACCTGTATGTCATGAACGTATGCCTTCGAACGTATATTGCAGCCCCTTTTGCCTACTTCTATCAGACACATTTGCTGCTTTATAAAAGTTTGATCAAGTTTTCAGCAGGAAGAGCTGTCACAGCATAAGCCATGTTGATACCAGAGCCCAGATGAAGTTTGTTTGTTGGACGTAGCAACAGTAACTAAGGGGGGCGGGGCTTAGCCAAAGGCGAATTGGTGCAGCAAAACATTCAAATTACAATTTACATTGTAGGAAGTAGTAGTCAAATTTTGGAAGAACATCAATAACCAAAACAAGTTGATGGACTCCATTGACTTCCATTGTATTCTTTTCCTACTATGTTTCCATCAACTGATTGGTCACCGGCATTTTTCAAAATATATTCCTTTGTTTGGTAACACTTTATTTGAAGGGGTGTGCATAAGACTGACATGACACTGTCATAAACATGACATAACACCTGTCATGAACATGAAGGAGTCTTTATGAATGTTTATGACTGTTGTCATTAAGTGTCATTCGGTAAATTATGACACTTTTAATGCAAAGTTGACATTGTTTAAAATGTCTTTGTTATAACAACTTGACATTAACCAAGACAAAAATGTCTTGATTATGACAACTTGACATTAACAAAGACAGAAATGTCTTTGTTATGACAACTTGACATTAACCAAGAAATCATAACCTGTCAACCTGTCACAAATATGTCATAACAGGTCTAATTATCAAACTTAAAGAAGTTATTTAGCTTTGCGTTAACATTACATTACCCTGTCATATGTTAAAGCATTTGTCATATGTCATATGTTAAAGCATTTGACAGTGTAATAACCCTTAATGACATCTTTATAACTAGTACAATGTGTTCCACTTTACTTGAGGACAAGTAAAATATTCATGACAGTTATAATGGTGTCATGACGGCCAAAGTCAAAACCAACCACATATGACAGGGTAATGTAATGTCAACGCAAAGCTAAATAACTTCTTTAAGTTTGATAATTAGACCTGTTATGACATATTTGTGACAGGTTGACAGGTTATGATTTATTGGTTAATGTCAAGTTGTCATAACAAAGACATTTTAAACAATGTCAACTTTGCATTAAAAGTGTCATAATTTACCGAATGACACTTAATGACAACAGTCATAAACATTCATAAAGACTCCTTCATGTTCATGACAGGTGTTATGTCATGCTTATGACAGTGTCATGTCAGTCTTATGCACACCCCTTCAAATAAAGTGTTACCCTTCAGCCGGAGAAAGAAATTAATTCAGGTTTGAAAAATATTTTTCAGTATGAACTCATGAAATTGTCTATTGCTATTAAAATTCAAACTCATGAATTAAAAGGGAGCCAATTCTGAAGTTCATGGTAACACAGTAATACACTATAAACAGAACTAGACTAACAGTGTGTGTCCTTCACGCTGCATGTCTTCTTATGACCAACAGATGGCACCACTTATTAACACACTTATGAAAGTGAACTTTGGCCAGCTGAAGTAACCAGTGAAAGCTGTGTATTGTTGAGTGTTGTGAGTGTATGAGCTGTACCTCATGTGGAGATCCCTTCAACACACTCGCGCTCTTGTAGATGGATTCATTCCACAGTTTAACCTCCTCGTTTTCCAGCTCCTCGGCCGTACGGTACAGAGACTTGGGAACCAGACCTCCCTCAGGAGCATCACACTGAATAAACACGAGAAACACAGACATACAGATTAGATTACAGTCGTATTTTTATAGAGTGACATCTCTTGGTTTTCTGTGGCTTCAAGCCAAAAGCATTTAGTATGAATGCATTTGTGAGACAAGTTAAGGCAAGCGTTGCCCCTGTGCTTTCCATACAGCATAAATAAAAGACCATCACGAATACACAAGTATACTTGTACAATAATAGTACATGAGTACAAGGAACATAAAAACACCACAACAACAAACGAGTGATATGGCAAGCAAATTCTGATTATAATGGCAAAGTGTTTCATGTATTCATTGATATTAAACATATCATATCACAACAGCATGATCCCATGTCATGATGATTACATCATTTTACCCTCACTTACCAGGAGAGAAACAACACGACACTATTGATATTGATAGGTTTTATATTCTCTTGTGAAAAACAAGTGTGCCTAATTGTATTTAATGTGCACTTGTAGTGTACTTCAAATCTAAGTATATTTTTAATCAACTGTACTTGTAGATCTTGTAAAAGACTACTTAAGTGCACTTAAAGAGAGACACTTCCATGATAAAAGTTTCTTAAGTACGCTTTTAAAAACTGCACTTTGTAATAATGTCAAATTAAAAGTTTTACTTTAATGTTTTACTTAAATTGTTTTAATAACCTTTTGTCATGCTTTGAAGTGGATTTTAATTTGAACTGTAATGCGTTCATGTAAAATTGAAAATAAATATAATAAATAGAAACATCCCCATTACAAATTATTCAAGTAATTTCAAATATATTTTAATACATGACATATATAACAAGTTTCAATAGAAATGCCATTGTATTTATAGTTTACCATAAAAGCCTGTCATTCAGCAGTAACTTCATATTTCAAAGACAATAGAAGTAATAATGAAGTTACTGTAATGTACTTAAATCCTACTTAAGTGGGTCAAAAAACATTCTAAAGTTCATCTAATTGCATGTAATATTGATGTTAAACTACAATTAATTTTAATTTAATTGCAATTAACATGCAATTAAGTGCCCGAAAACTTTACATTAATTTTTGCATGCAAGTATATTATTTTAAAGTATATTATTTACATTATAAATACTCATTTGCTAAAGTATGCCGAAATGTACAAGGGTTTAAAGCCTGTTGAAGTGCCTTAGAGGAGCGTCTGTTTGGCACAAACCACTGTATCATTTTATGATAAATAAGCACACAAAGATCAATATTCAAATATAAGAATGCAAATGAATATCTGGGAATGAGTTGTTGGCCTAGGGAAGGTGCGTGACACTTCTAAACAGTGTCCCAGCTCGATGATCCCGTGTGTATCAACATATAGGCCTATCTCTGCTCTCCTGAAAGCTTCAGCTTAATCTAACCAGGCCAGATGAGAACCACATGACCACGTGTCAACGACAGCTTTATCACTCAGATTTGCTCTCTACAACATGAGTAATATCAGACCCCAACTCTCTGAATATGCTATGCAGCTCTTAGTAAAGGCTCTTATCATCTCAAGGCTAGATTACTGCAATACTCTGGTGAACTATCTACATTTACTAAAGAATACAGCAGCATTTCAGGGTTTCCAACCACTCATTAACAGCTTCTCTTGACAGTTTCCAACACTTATTAAACACACCTGAACCAGCTTAACAAGGTCTTTAGGATTACTAGAAACTTCCAAGCAGGCGTTTTGGAGTTACACTCTGCAGGACTGAGGCCTTGTCCATATTGAACACAGAAGCAGCCGGATCATTTCCTTAGGCCATTTTCTCTGTGTTTTGGCCTTCTGACACTGAGACACCGTTTTTAATAATGAAAACGCTCTCCAAAGTGGATATGTTTGAAATCGCCGTTTTCGCGTGTTAGCGTGGACCGTCAAAACTGAGGTATTTAAAAACTATGACCTAAGTTTAGTCATGTGACGCATATTGTACCAATAGATATTCATGTTTATAATGGTATTGTGCCTGTTATGTGCTATTCACTTTCACACTGTTGCTAAAATACGTTAAGGCCTGTTCACACCGGGACGAATTTCGCGCGCGATATTCGCCGACGTTTAACGCCTCGTGACTAAACAAAGGACGCCAATGTGAGTGTGCACACCAACGCGAAAAACGCCACGCGTGAAAGCGTCATTTTTTTTTAAACGCCTTGGGTTCGTTTTTTTAGTTTGACGCGCCGCGTCAAAAACTATCCGACCAATGAGATTGGCGCTTTTGCTCACGTGTCTGGAGCTTCTGAAGTTACAGTAAAACACAACTCTGGGGCGCTCAAACACAAAACGGTCTTGCTGAGCACACATACGTAACGGCGAAGAAGATATACGCCAAGTAGCGTCTACACCATAGACAGGTCTACACTGCCGGGAAGAAGAAATAAGACGAGGAAGATGCAAGGCAAGATGAATGTAGAGCTGCTGGTCTCGTTGGTGTCAGAACATAAAGAACTATATGACAAACGCGACAGCGACTACAAAAATCTTGATAAAAGAGAACTGTTATGGAGTGGTATTGCAGAGCAAATGGGCGCCATCTAATGTCAGGGAATGAATTGGCATGTTCACTCGGCTCATCGTCAGCGAAAATCGCTTGGGTGTGAACACAAAAAACGTGTTGAAAAACGCTGGCGAATAACACGCGCCGATATTCGTCCCGGTGTGTACGAGCCTTTACTTTGCACACTCTTCATATCACGCGTTTTCAGGCATGTTCCCAAAGTTTCTCATCAACACTGAAACGTGGGAAAACGCCTGAAAACACTAGTGTGGACGGAGAACGCATTTAAACGAAAACGCCGTTTTCAAAGGTATCCGGATGAATGTAGACGCAGCCCGAGTTTGACACATGGGTTAATATGTCAGATCTCGCCACCTGTAGTTCTGAAGACTCACCAGAGAGTCTCCTCCTAAGAAGTCAGGGATGAAGTCTCTGTTGATGTAGTCCACCAGACCTCCAGGCCCCTGGTAGTCATTCCCAGCGTAGATGAGAAACTTATTCCGAGTGTTTTCATCGATGAATGGACTCACCTGAGAGCAGAACGAAGGCAAACACGACATTTACAGAAGCCCGGAAATTAAGTAAGGCCAGATGAGTGAAATAACACCACCACGCTAACATGACATTTAACTGTGATGGGTCAGTGTGTGGAGACATTTACAACCATTAAATTAAGATTGAGTAGGTGCTCATCTCAGTGTTTCCTAATACCTTTAACTATTTGTTAACATATGTACTAAGTGTGTCATAATGTGAAATCCTATGAGTGTGTTTACCAAAGTCCAGAGCACAGGAAACACTCTGGGTGCTCTTATTATGAGGAGACGGCCCAGTGTTTCAGGGTAGTTGGCTCCTACAACTTCTATCATCCTCAGCAAGGCTTTGATGGCCGGTCTCCACAGATGCCTCATATTTAACCCCTCAAGATCCACCAGACATGTCCAGCAACTACAACACAAGAGCACTTATTTATTTAGGGTAGAGGTACCATGTACAGTACAAACACAATTCTTATTCATAACCAATTTCATTTTTAAAACATACTGGAACTGGCTGGTTTTCATGGCGTTCGGTTCTGTTAGTGGAGTTGGGAACCAAATCCAGAACAATCAAAATTCCTTTTGATTCCCATTTATTATGGTCAGTTTTGAGTAAGTTACTCTAAAAAAGTAATGTATTACTAGCTACTAATTTAATCTTCAACAGTGTAATTCGGTTACTGTACAAATTACTCTCTCTATAAAGTATTGCATTACTTATTACTAAGTACTTTCTAAATGCCACATCGAACTCTTTAATTCTTTAAAATAAATAATTTTAAATTGCATAAATTGTTCTTGAACTGACCGAAGAGTTTAAAAGGAGAATGTTACATTAAAAACATAGATTTTAACATTAGATGTTAAATTCCCTATAGTTTTATATAGAATTGCTATATTTTCTATACAGTATTTAATGCAATTACATCTAAAGTAACTATTAAATTACAGAAACATCCCTTACTTCACTTTTTTAAGGGGGATAATTAAATTATAATAATTAATTACTTAGTAATGCATTACACCCAACACTGATTATGTCTAACTATATATAGATTAATACAAGTACATGATATGTTTGGTAATGCATGAATAAATTAAGTACCTGATTGGTTTTCCAAATATTTTGGTTTTCTCTTGACAGTGTCTGAGACCTTCCTCATTGATAGACAGCACCTAAAGGTTGGGTCAAAGGTCAGGGGTTAGTGAACATGGTCATTTTATTTAATTGAATTTGAATCCCTGATAAAGCCTGGTTTATCCCAAATCATTTTTCTACTGCTTACACAAAAATGGATATTTTTTTGGTTTCTTGCCTCTGACTTGCTCACTGTGGGATTAAAGCATTATGAGTTTTACTAGCAGCTCCCTTTTAAGAAAAGGGTGATATGACCCAAATATATATGTGACTTTCAACCACAGTACGGAACGATATAGTGCTTCTGTATGAAATCAGAGATGTTACAAAGCCATAATCTAAATTTCTCAAACATTCTCAACACATCA